CCCTCCCAGATTTCACCTTTCCAGGGAGGGGACCCCCAGCACCCTTGGGGGCCTGGGCCGCAGCCTTGCTAGCTCTCGCGTTTCTAGGAGCTGGGCAGGGGCTCCACTCCACAGCAGGGCATGGTGACCTAGATCCAGGGCTTGAGGCACAAGGGGGCTCCCCAAGGAGCTGTGAAGCCACAGGGCCAGGGCTGCAGCCAACAGGACATATCCTGGCACTGCTCGGGGAGCTAACTCATGGCTCTGACGTCATTCAGTGATGTCCACACTTGGCCTTTGTTCATGACACTGCTGCTTTTTCATGGTTTGAAATCGCAGCACATCCCCTTTTGTGCCCTGATCCTCTGCTAATTGTGATAGATGTGTCAGTGATAGGACAGACTCACTTTCTCTACACGCACAGGCCTCATGGCCAGCAGTGCCTAGCACTCAGGAGCTTACCATCAGGACTCCCAGCCTCTGGTTGGACTCTCGATGCTGGTGGACTGACAGTCTGACTAGGGATATCACCATCCAACTCTAAAAGGACAGCCTGCCCTCAGCAGGACTTCCTCCCCCACGACCCCACCCAGGACCTGTCTGTCCTTACTATTTTGCTGTGGCAGTGGCTCGCCCACTGGACACCAATACCATGCTCACAACCCTGCCTGAGAGGGTGGAACCCTGCAGGCTTCAGCTCTGTGCCCCTGCTGTGTGTGGCTGGGGAGCTCTGGGTAGCTGGGGTTACCTCCCCTGGGGAAGTGGTTCTAGACTATGGTGGCTGTTCTGTCCTATGCCGGGCCCAGACCACCACACCACCCACCCTCAAACAACCACAGTCGGCTTTGGCCAAGGAACAAACCAGCCCCAAACGTAGAGGCTGGAACAGTGGCATGTTCTATGGGCCAGGGGCAGGCTGGATCAGCTGGTGCTTCTGCCACTGGCCGTGCCCATGTCCCTCCTACACCTGTGATCAGCTGGCGCCAGTGGGGCCTAATGACCTCATTCACAGCCAGGGCAGTAAAGGAGACTGCGTCCTGGATCCAGTGTCCCATAGGTCACCCCAGGCTTGACCATGTGGTGGACTCTGGCTTCCAGAAGGCCTGGATAGGGCAAGCCTCTGCTTGTGCCACTTTTGCTACCTCCCTGTTGGCCAGAGTGCCTCATGAGGCCAAGGCCAGATGCCAGGTGGAGTGAGCTGCTGCCCTATGCTGGGAGGAGCAGTCACATGGCAGAGGCTGTGCACACCAGCAGGGGAGGGGGCAGCCAGCAGTGGCAGCCTGGCTCTAGGGTTCGTGTCCTCGGGTTGAGAAGGCACAAGCTGGAGATCAGGGCAGTGTGGCAGAGGTGGGTGCCTGCTTTAGCCGGGTGGTCCCAACACCAGAACCCAGCTCAGGGATGTAGGGAAAGGGCTTATGGCTGATGGGTACTCTGGGAGCTTGAGCTGGGGTGGGTTGGGGGAGGAAGTGGGAAGCACAGCACAGGCCCTGCCAGTCACCTGGGTGATGTGTGAGGAGCAGGTGGAACTTGTCCCAGAGTGGGGGCCCCAGTGCTGTGCAGACCAGCTATGTCGGGATACCTGGACATAGGAAGCTGGAGATGAAACTTCAGAACTGTCGCTGCATGGATATTTCAAACCATGAGAATTTTTGTAAAACCCTGTAAGGGGTGGTGTCAGGACAGAGTTGAGGGCTCCCACCCCCTATCTGAGCAGTGTCACATCTGTAATTTAGAATTTTTAATTTCTTTTTTTTTGTATTTTTTTAAATTTTTTTATTTTTATTGCATTTTAGGTTTTGGGGTACATGTGAAGAATTTTTTAGTAGCTACGTTAAAAGATAAAATGAATTTCAGTAATACATTTTAAGTAACCAAATATACAAAATATTACCACTTTAAATTGTATTCAAGTTGCCTTTTGAAAAGCAATGTGGCATTTTTGCATTATTTTACTACAAAATCTCCTAAGTCCTGTGAGTATTTGATACTTGTAACACATCTCAATTCAGAGCAGCCACCTTCCAAGAACTCGGGGGCTGGTGGCAGCCATGTGGGACAGAGAAGCTGTGGGGATAGGGCAGAGGAGTGCGAGGGCAGGGGCCGGAGCCCAGTCAGCCCACAGAACCCCGGAAGGACTTGAGGGAGGGATGGCGGGAGAGCCAAGGAACTTCCCTGCCCCGTGGGGCAAACTGCTGGGTGAGTCAGGGCCTCAGGAAGGGCTGCACTTCCAAGAATGGAGGTGGAGGAGAGGTGGGGGTGGGGCTGGCAGGAAGAGGGCCTTGCTGGCTAAGGGCTGAGCCTCCCCAGGGAGAAGAGCAGGGCAGCCCAGCAGAGTCCTGCTGGGAAGAGGCCTCACTGAGAGAGCCCATACCCCAGCCCCACCTCACAGGGGATGAAGTCTGGAGAGTATAGATGGGGGACCTAGGGTGGCAGGACAGACTCAGAGCTGGGACAGGGACCCTGTACCCCTGTACCAGGGGCAGTGTCCTGGAACTGGCCCTCAGCTCCTGGCTTTACCTGCACAGGATGGAGGAGCTGTGCCTGCATCCCGCTGGCCACCAGGTATACTTTGGCCAGATGCTACGCATGTGTGATGACATCAGTTTCCCGCTGGGTGAGTGGGGCCCTCCCTGGTATGGTGCGGTGGGGTGCTGGGCCTGGGCCTCATGGCGCATCTCCCCAATACAGGCCAGGCCGGCTACGCCGTGTACAAGTATGTGCCATACAGCCTGGTGATGGACGCACTGCCCTACCTATCCCGCCGTGCCGTGGAGAACAGCAGCCTCATGAAGGGTGCCCATTGGGAGTGGCAGCTGCTGTGGCTGGAGCTCTTGTGGCGGTTTCGAATTGGCAGCTTCTTCCATCGCCCCGCCTAGCACCTGAGAGCCCACCCTCAGCCTCCAGGCACCCCAGCTGTGGCCTCCAGGCACCCTCGCCCCTCCACACCGTCACCACAGCTGTAGCCAACCCAATCCTCACACAGATTCACCTTTTTTCACCCCACACTTCAGAGCTACTGGATGTGGGCCAGGTACCTCCCAGTCCCACCCAGGGTGTGGGCTGAACCTGATACCTGCCTGGGAAAGCCACTGGGACTTGTAGGAAACTCTCCTCGGATGTGTGGGCCCAAGCCCCTACCTCCATGACCCACATGTCCTTGGACCTAGAGGATTGTCTGCCTTCTGCCAGGGGCAGCCCACAGAGCTCGAGCCCCTTGGGGAGTAGTGGCCAGGCTGGGGAGGCCTGCCTGGTCAATAAACCACTGTTCCTGCAGCTGAGAGCCCTTGTTCCCACACAGGGTCAGCTCTGGACAGCAAGAGGGAGGGGCTCAGAAGGGTCCCAGAACTCTCAGCCCAGACTCTGGCCTCCAGCATCAACTGTTCCTGGAGGCTAGGCCCCTTGCAGACCTTGCCACCCAGGGTGCTGACTCCACAACTCAGGATCCAGCAGGGCCCCTGGGCTCAGGGCAGCATGGAGGGGACTCATGCAGATGCAGAGGCCAAGCTCCCCAGGTGGGCCTGACACCCCTCCCCCTGGGGCTCCCCCTCAGACTATTCCCTGCCGTCCAGAGTCCTCCACACCGCCCCCCCACCCGCCCACCACCACCACCACCACCACCACCACCACCACCACCACAACCATGACCTGCATCAGGCTCCTCCTAGTGGTTCCCACAGGACACTGACCAGGCTGCGGCAAGTACACACTCAGCCCCCTGCCTTCTCCCAAACTCTCCAGCCCCCAGTCCTACGAAGCAGGCTGGATGTGGTCCTCAGGCCCTGGGGCTTGGGTGGGATCCCCATGCAGATGGTAGTGACAGCATCCTGGGACCAGGGCTGGGGCAGGGAAGGCCTGGAGGCTCCCAGTCTCCATGCAGGGGGAGGGGTGGTGGGCTGGGCACACAGCCCAGGAAGGGACCCCCAGGCAGGGTCCTCTGCTGCAGCAGAGGTGGGGGCCCTACCAGGGCTCTGGTTATGGCAGAACCCACAGCTGTCACACAAACCACATGCAGGCCACACTGAGGCATCTTTATTTCTCTGAGTCACACAGAACTTGGGCCTTGGAGCCTCTTCTGCTTGGGGGCTGCAGCTGCCAAGGGAGTGGCTGAGACCAGAACAAGCACTCAGGTGGGCCCCAGTGCAGGTTGGGATGTGCCCCGCAGAGTGAAAAGGTGTGAGAACCCCCATGCCCAATCTGCCTGGCCCTGAGGCAGACAGTGGCAGACTGCGCCCGCCTCCCTTTTATGAGACCATCCTACCATTTGGCAGAAAGTCCCAGATGAAGGTGGGGACAGGCAGCCAGGGTCCACCTGGCCTCTCCTCAGCAGGGAGACCCCTGCAGGCAGCTGCGAAGGCAGTGGCCAAAGGTCAAGAAGATGTACTCTGCCCAGCCTTCTGCTGTCTGTGGCTATGTTGGGACAGGACTGCCTTCCTTGTCACACTGGGCAGCAGGAGGCTGCCAGCAACCTCCCAGTCCCAGGGATGCCTTCCCTGCCTGGCAGCACCTCTGCTGCAGCTTTCGGATGAACTCCAGCAGGTTCATCTGCAGCATCAGCTCCTGGGATACAGAGGGGCCCTATGAGGGTCAGAGTGACCCAGGCCCCTTTCATCCCAGCCTAGAGGTGCCAGGCAGTGAGCCCATGGGGCGACCATCCTGTGAAGCCGGTCATGGCCTGCCAGGAAGGGGTGGAATCTGAGCCTCTGCCCCCAGCAAGGCCACTCAGAATGGCATGTAGGAGGAGAGCAGAAGAGGGCCATGTGGGCCTGGGGAGGGTGGGCAGTGCCCCATGGTTGGCTGGCTCACCCTCCTGTAGGGAGTGGGCCCAGCCTCTGTGCTAGGAGCAGCACAGAAATCCTTTCTGGAGTCTCAGTTCTTCCACTTCAGCCCTATACTCTAAGCCTGGATTCTCAGACACCAGTGGTGAAACCCCAGATGGAATGGGGTCTTCAGGGCTCAGGGGCACTCGGGCTAGGGCAGGCCCAGGCACTGACCTGCAGGTTGGTGGTCATGTAGAAGCCAGCTACCTCCACCTTCTCCAGTGTGCTCTCCTGGTCAGCCACC